GTTGTCGCATTGGGCGGTTCACTATTTTTACAATCCCCACCAGTCAAAGAGCATAAACTTCGATTCAGTATCCAGCAACAACAATTGTCAATGCGGTACCCTCTCAAAGTATTAGGAAAAGCAGAGAAAAACATACCTAGTAGCAAAGGCATCTGGCTGTAATGGAGCAAGGACAATGCATAGTTTCTCAGCCTTTGTTGGTGGGGTAGTAGATGGCGTTCCATTAAGCGAAGAAGCAACCCTGCCACAAAATGAAACATGTAAGCAAACGACTGCATTTAGTAGGCACTGTATGGCCTACGTTTCTTCTGGAGCACATGCAAATGAGTCACTTTTTCCAGGTACGCAAGGAAAGTACCCCATTGAACTACCGGAGGGGAGGCTTCTCGCCATTCCTATTATGCTATGACCCTCAGAAGATTTAGTTGGCGTGACTGGCGCATTGGTCCCAGAGAGCACGCGAGACAACGCCGCAGTGACCAGAGGATTTGCGAGGCTACTGCAAAACCGAACACGACTTGGTCAAAAGAATGAAAGAGTAATTGAGAGGAAAAGAAAGTTGGGAATCCAATTCCTTCATTGATGTCAGTCCCAAGTAACATCATCGTGAAACCATGACCCTCGTATAAGATTGCACTAACACGAACACGAATGCATACCATAATGGTATATGCACGCTACATACTGAACGGTGTAAAGATTATGCGAACCTGATGTCCAGGACCTGCATAGGCCGAGGAGCATGCACTGGCTTCTCTTCCTGGGGAACATCATTTACAAATATGGACTTGCTCCTCGAACAAAGACAGGTTAAAAAAATGAATTTAAATGGATGAAAGTGTGTGTTTCAAGTTGACCGGGACGAACATCCAAGTAGACTTATTGTCGGGCTCACATTGATTGATTTCCTTGAGGATTTTTGGGTGGCGAATCAAAGTTCTGGGGAGCGGAGATTGCCTGGGACGACTCCTGTTCAGTGCTGTAGAACAAAATGAACGAACAATAAGGTATGAATACTGCAGAACACAATACCCAAAGCAGTAGAGTAAGTTCGCTGAGGTACCTGTTTAGCTGAGAGTTTGATGTTGAGGCAATCGTGCCAGTGAGGCGCTTTTGGAAACGGGGGCCATGCATTTTCTTAACACTGGGGCTAGACTGGTCCTCCTTTTCAACAGTTGAGACACAAAAGTCATCCATTTTATCTGAAGTTTGCCCAATGGGGAGAGTAAGCACAAAGGAATATTCTTGACCAATCAAGTTTTCAATCTCTGGCGGATACCCGCCACCACGGTCTGGTGCAGCCATAAGCAAAGTACCAGCTGATATTCTGAGCAAGTTCTCTACTGTGTTTCCGATTAGAACAAACGGAGCAAAGTAAGTCCCAGCCTGTACCATGAGTCTGATCCGGAAGCTTCCCATGACAAAGAACGACCAAAGAAATCGGGTTAGTGTGGAATAATGTATGATAAAAAATTAACAATAGCAGTTGTTGAGTTAGGCGTACCACTGTTTTAGCTGATGAGGGTACACTGTCGCATCACATTTTCGCACCAAAAAGGGGCATCACGACGAACAGCGGCCTTGAAGCATGTAGCACAGGCTAGATAGCACCAATCTCTTGACATATCTATGTCGGTGACCTTACCCTTGCAGCCGAACCTCCCACCCTGCAAAGCATTGGACAATTGGACAACAACACAACGAACTGATCATTCTCCAATACATGAGTTCAGAGTTGTTGTAAGGAACTACATATGCGAGCACACTCACCATGGTAGAAGTAGACTGAACTATCTGGAGCTCTGGAATTGTCCCGAAGGAATCACGGTAGATTGTAGCCGCCTTCTCAGGAGTGTTACACTCAGTCGGGACAACTCCAATAGGACCAGCAGCATCACCAAAACTACAGTGTAGCCATGTTTAAGCACCAATTTGTATTTTTGAGATGGTAAGTTTGCGAGAGAGACATAGTCAGGGCAGGACTCACTGAACAGCAAGGGCCTAGGCCTGCGGGTTTGCTGGGAGAATGACAATGCGCGTCGCTGAGGTACTGGACGCACCCACATTTCCTAACGACTGATTATGGTGGGAAGAATATGATTCGCTTATGTAAAGGTGGCAGTTTCTGGGAACACCTATACAACGAACAGATCCAGGTAACTCAGATCTTAACAGAAACAGCGGAAGGAGAAACGTACCACGCCATACGGAGAGGTTCAGCGCGGTGAAAGCGACGATCATGGGTGCATCTCCACCCATCTCAATGATTCAGGAAGGGCTAGTCGCTCGGCAAATTCTGACCAGAGTGTGACTGGCAATGAGATATCGCTGGCAATAAGCACCGAAAATCAGCCAACCGTAGGTTATGGTTCTGAAATAGGAAAAGCAAAATTGACAACAAACCGTTCATTTGTTATCACAACAGTCTGTCTCTTGCTTGAACGTTCCTGTTTCTGGTAGTAGGTGATGGGAGTAGCAGAGGCCACGCGGCCAACAACATCTAGGAAAATGAAGAGTTTAGATTGTGGGAAATGTGAGAGCAGATGCACAGTTTGAAGAGATAGCTGACCTACCAACCAAAGTTCCTCCCCAAGAAGCCAAGGGATGCAGCTCTTCAAACTGCCGAAATTCGAAACTATCAGGACAGAAAGTGGGTTCGTCCGCTGGCGAGGCAACAAAAGAGGTACTTGATGTAAAATAAAGAAGGCGTTCGTTGGAGCACGGCGCCCATCGCTTCCTGGCCTCCCGTTGGCTAAACTGTGTGACGAAATAGACCCTCCCCACACTAATCACTTCTCGGAGCTGTTCGGCCAGCTGCAGCGGCGCCACGCCTTGCACCAGCACGCCCTAAATAGAAAAGTATCGACGGTGGAACAAAGTTAGACATACTTCATGAAACAAAGGAACCACAAAAAAACATGGAACTCACCAATTCATCTGTCCAGAGTGTGGAAAACTCGAAAAACCCATCAGGCCGAGCTGGGTTTCCAGCAACCCAAGTGTGAAGAAGACGCAGCTTAAGGACCGGCGACTTATCTGTCCATGTGAGCTTCGAAAGCACAACATGCTTCCCTGTATCAGGCCCGGCGGGAACAATAGAGTCGGTAGCCATGGTTGGTTGGAGCGGCCGGGAAACGGCAAAGGCGGAGCAAGCGGATGGGACGATAGGCGAAAAGTGGTAATGGAGAGAAATTTGCTCGCTAGGAAAGTTCTTGCAAAGTGGAAAGCATGGAACGATTGAAAGAAGAGGCAAGAGGGAAAAGAGGTGACTGGAAAAGGAGGCAAGAGAAGAACAACGTGCTCAATTGAAGAAAGTAAGGGCAGCAGTAGGGATTCAACGCAAATCAGAACCAAAGGACAGCAGAAAACGTACGAATTAAGCGGTGGAGTGCGTACGGGATTTTGCGGTAAGGTGCTTATGTTAAAGGCGAACCTCTCCGCCAGTCCAGACAGGCATGGTCGCCGTCCAGCTCTCTCCACTTCCGTCCTTTTACCCGCGAAGTTCGCTCTCCCCGGCCCTGTGACTGTCCTGTAACCCCCATTCCCCAAATCTCGCCCGAATCGCTACCCCAAATGTGCACGTAAACCCCATTCCAACACTCAAAAAGTGAAAGCATAGTTTGGTGTACGGGGAAGCTAGGGAGAAACTCTCCTCCGTCGTGGGGCAAGAAGAAGCGAAGCAAGAGGAAGAGGTTGGACACATGACGACAAAGCATGATACAGTAACCAAGGGTTTTAGATGAAAAGTGAACCCAGCTTTTATATCTTAATAGAATTGTGTTTGAGGTATTGTTAGGGCTAAATTACACATTTGGTCACTTGAATTATACAAATCTTTCACGTTTGCCACCCGAATTATTTTTCTTTCTTATTCACCACTAACTTTATGAATCGTTTCACCATTAGTCACCGACCGTTACACTCCGTTAAATTTGTCCTACGTGGCAATCAACTATAAGTTTGACCGTTAACTAGATGACGTGGAAATTAAAAATAATAATAGGGTAAATACAATATATTAGCCATAACTATCAAGCAATGGGGAATTATATCCATAACTATCGAAATACAAATTATTAGCCATAACTATTGTTGCGGGTCAAGATTTTGCTAACAGCCTGTTACTGTTTTCAAATTTTTAACGGAGAAGGCCATGTCATCATCGTAAAAATATACGATATAGTGACTGTCACGTGGGAGCCAGCTCAGCATCATAAAAGTTAGGTCATCATTACTAACAGAAGTGTTACGAAAACTTAATGGTTGGCTAATAATTTGTATTTCGATAGTTGTGGCTATAATTCCCCGCTATTTAATAGTTATGGCTAATATATTGTATTAACCCATAATAATAAATAAATTTATTTTTCCAACTCATCATTCCATTCTTTGTGTATATGATTTATCATATTACTTATTTAAAAAAATAATTAAATTACAAAAATAAATAATATTATTAATTTATTCTCATATAGTTTTGGAGTTGGTGTACTCGAGGAGATCGGTGGTGGTGTGGCGGTGACCCTGGTCAAAGTAATCTCCGATCCAGTAATCTCCCCTCCAGCCACATCTTTGACCGCTCTCCCATCCAACGGTGGCTTGACGTCGGTCACTGCACTTGCCCAATCACCAATCTCCCTTTGCCCGACCACCCTTCCTTAATCCCCAACCACGCCCTCCGCAACTTGATTTCCAACTACACCCTCATCTCCTCCTCCCCCAAACTCCACCTCCACCACCCGCCGCCAGAAACCCTAATCTTCGATCGTCTAGATTTACCCATAAGTCCGTCTAGATTTACCCACAACACTGTCTAGACCCTTCCTATTCTGATATCCTAGAGATGCACTTCTAGGAGACCTTCCCTTAGCTGAAATTCGCCCATTTTACTGGCGAATCAAATCCTTGAAGCCTTTGTCACCGCCAATCGGGTACACGTCATCGAATTTTGGGCTGAAACAGGGGATGCAGTGGCCGGCTCTTATGCAGGCCCTAGCATTATGCCCGGTGAGCCACCAACCTTCCGATTGACCGAAATCAGGCCACCCCAGCCCAACAACAAAAACGACAATTTAGTATTTACAGCAGGTCGGGTGGAAACTGGCGTATCTGGCAGAGACGATCGGCGTGGAATTCAAATTCCGAGGGTTTGTGGCCAACAACTTGTCATATCTGGAGCTAGAGATGCTGGATTTGTGCCCGATCGACGTGGAGGCAATGGCGTAGAACTCGGTGTTCGAGCTCCACCACCTCCTTGGCCGGAGCGCCGGGATGAACAAGGTGCTGTCGAAAATCGAGGTGATGAAGCCGACGATCGTGAGTTCGTGACGGTGGTGGAGCAGGAAGCGAATCGCAATGGACCGGTGTTCGTGGACAGGTTCATGGACGCGTTGCAGTACTACTCAAGCCTATTCAACTCGCTAGAAGGGTCATCGTGGTCGTCGCAACCGGCGAGTCAGAATGTGGTGATGTCGGAGATGACAATTAATTTATCATATTATTTATTTTTGTAATTTAATTAATTGTTATTAAATAAGTAATATGATAAATCATATGCGATTAGAATCATGAGCTGGACAAATAATATTTTTTTTTAATTGCCACATCATCTAGTTAACGGTCAAACTTTATAGTTGACTGCCACGTAGGACAAATTTAACTGAGTGTAACGGCTGGTGACTAACGGTGAAACAATTCATAAAGTTAGTAGCGAATAAGAAAGAAAAATAATTCGGGTGGCAAACGTGAAAATTTTGTATAATTCGAGTGACCAACCTGTAATTTAGCCGTATTGTTAGCTTACTTTTTTCTTTCTTATTCCTTGAGGGACCATCAAAATCATTCAATCTCCAAACAATGTATTTTTCAAATTCATACATTGAAACAATACATCTAATTATAATACATACATTGATTAAATACATCAATTTAGAGAATCCCAACTTCCAAACATGCCCTAGGTTTCCATTTAAAAGAGTAAAGTACAAATTTACCCTTCTGTGCAACCTCTGTCCGAGCCGAGGGGAACGAATAAGGTCAGTAACTTTATGGTGAGTAACTATGAGTAACCCGCTCACATCAGCATGACATCAACATCCTCTCTCTCCTGGAAAGTCTTTAATTTTCCCCTTCTTAATCTTTGACGAACGATTTCTCACTCGTTTTAAGTCAAAATTTAATTTTTTTTGTATAGTTAGATCAGATTAATTGTGCTCTTCAAAATGATATCCACTTTGATATATTTTTCGAACAAAAAAAATTCAGCCATTTTTTACTAGTCTATACCATATGATATTGACTAGTATTGAAATAAGAGCATACCTATGGTTTGAAAAGCGTACCATGGTGGTATGACACAAACTAAAACTGTAGGATGGTTGAATACATGATAGTAGAATTATATTAATTGTCATTTACGACTTTTAACATTGTATACCATAAGATACCATAAGATATCACCCCGTACCAGGGTGGTATTGTATGGTATTGTGTGGTATTTTTTTGTCTTGTAATTTGTTCACCCAGAAATTTGTAGATCCAATAGATCATGATGAAGTCGTCCCTGCTGTGCAAACGTTTTCAAAAATGAATTAAAAACGAAGAAGATACCATATGGTATGCAGTTGGTACCGAGAGGCCAAAATTTTTTTTTCCTCAAAAAATATTGAAAATTGATCTCATTTTGTAGAGCACGATGAACTCGTTCCATCTGTGAAAAAAAATAATTAAAATATGAGTTAAAACGAAAAAGATATGAGTCAATTAAGAAAGCTAGTGAAAATAAAAATGTTTTTAATTCTCCATCCTTAGATCTGAATTTTCTAAATGAAGGGTCCGGATTTGGTTATTGATGGGTGCATAACTCATGGTTATGCACCCTAACTTGAGCCCGAGCCGAGTATTCCAATTAGGGATGGCAATGGGTCGGGTTTTGCCAAACCCAAACCCATGGGTTTATTCGTGAAAAAAACTCGGGGTAAAACCCATTGGGTTTGAAAAACTCAAACCCAACCCAACCCGCTGGGTAGCCGCGGGTTCATGTGTACCCACGGGTTTTTGTCGTAAAAATTTTACAATAACAAGTTCCTATCAAAATTAAAGTCAAATATAAATTTTTCAATACAAATTATCCATATATAAAACACCATTCTAGAAAATTCAAGCATATCACAAATTAACTATACAAATTGTTCAACACCAATCTAGAAAACTCAAGAAAATTGAAGCCAATCACAAATTATTCATAAATAACATGATTTATTGAAAGTTTCTTCCTTTCAATTAAGTTTCTTCACTCTCCACTCGATAACATCAACTTCATTCTACACAATTAGAAAGAAAAAAATTAGACATGTCTCCACAAACATAAATAAGATTAGTTGTTTAGAATATTAAATATACCGAGAAAATTAATTATATGAGTATGGGCGGGTAACCATGGACCGGGTTTACCTAAACCCAAACCCAACCCGGTGAATAGTGAACGGGTTTAAACCCAAACCCGATCCAAAACCCGTCAACACGGATTTTACCCGCGTTGACCGAATTTGATCGGGTGGGTACCCGTGAGTTCTCGTTTTGTTGACATCCCTAATCCCAATTCCTTCTTCCTCCGTTGATGTTCATCTTTTTGCAAACTGGCGGCACCCAGCAAAAGCTTGCCTGTCCGGTGCCCCTGTTAGTATCCCTAATTCCTTCTTCCCGTTGTTTATCTTGGGCAATGTCTATTTTTTACCCAAACCTTTTTCAGATTCTTTTATTTTAACCAAACCTATAAAAATTCTATTTATTATCCAAACGTATTATAATTTATCAAAGTCCGGGCATTCATTCTGTTACCATTACTTATTTCGTCCACGTGAGGAGTGAGATTTTGTTTTGTTTTTTGATAATCTTTTTATTAAAAATAGTAAATGATGGTATTCTGACCGCCACGTAGGAAGTCAACTCATTATGGTCATACTTAGTCAGCATTACTAACAGAAAAGTTGACGGAGAGTTAACGTTTGGATAATTTTTAGGAATTCAATAGGTTTGGTTAAAATAAAAGAATCCGAAAAAGGTTTGGGTAAAAAATAGACATTGCCCATTTATCTTCAACTAAAGTCCCCAATCAAATGAATGGATTCCTCAGTTGTCCGACATGGAAGAAACGAGGACCTAATTGTAGTGGATATATATGTTATGATGTAAATTGTAATTATGTTTAGTATAGGTAGTACATAGAACTTTGTTCTCTGCTATAAATACATATTTGTAATATGGATATTGTAACTTTTTACGTGTGAAATAAAATCAGTCTATCAGACTTTTCTGTTGATCAACATGGTATTAGAGCAAAACGGTGTCGTTTCTGGCTCTTGACTTTCTTTTCACCATTTCCGGCTTTCATTTATTGATTTTCATTCTCTCTCTTCGAGAAACTCTCAGAGAGGACGAACATCTCGTTCCTTTTTTCTATGTTTTTCTCGATTGTTCTCCACAATTTGTTCCGATTCAGTTGTTCTTTTTCCGCTCACTCCTCTGTTCCGATCGATTCGAGTCTCGTTGATCGTGTTTCTCCCGTTCTAGTTGATTTTGCGTTCTTGAGGAAAACCTAGATCTGACAATGGCTGCTTTCTCGACTATTTTGTCGACTTCAGAACCTACATCAGTCAGTTCATCGACTCCCTCAAGCTTATCGGCGCTTCCTCTTCCGGCGTCGCATCCTTATTTCATCTCGAATGAAGATCTCTCGTCTCTTCAACTCGTGACTGCACCACTCTCTGACGCAAATTACCATTCGTGGGCGCGTTCTCTAAGGATGGGATTGCAAGCTAGCAACAAACTCTCGCTGATCGATCCTCTCTGGACGGCCTGGGATCAGGCGAATGTTTTGGTCCTTGGTTGGCTTCAGCGCTCAGTCTCGCCTGAGATAGCGCAAAACGTCCTTTGGTTTGATACGGCCGTCGAGGCCTGGGAAGACCTCTGAGAAAGGTATTTTGACTGTAAATGACGAGATTTCCGTCTTGCAGACCTCTATGACGAGATTTCCTCTCTCTAAAAAGGTATTTTGACTGTAAATGTTTACTTCACAAAGTTTAGAAATCATTGGGAAGAACTGATGATCTTGAGGCAACAAACTCCGTGTGTCAGACCTCTATGACGAGATTTCCTCTCTCTAAAAAGGTATTTTGACTGTAAATGTTTACTTCACAAAGTTTAGAAATCATTGGGAAGAACTGATGATCTTGAGGCAATTTCCGTCTTGCACTTGCAATCCTCACCGTTCTTGCCCTACTGCTTCTGTGCCTCGTGAGTATATGCGTCATGATCAAGTGATCTATTGTCTCAAAGGCTTGAACGGGAGCTATAGCAATGTCCATTCTCAATTCTTGCTCATGGAGCCCCTGCCAAGTATCAACAAGGTTTTTTCCTGTCTGGTACAACAAGAGAGACAGTTTGGTCATCTCCATGCTCCTCCTGTTGCTCTAGCTACTCAAGGCCATGATACTCCTGCTTCCAGTCGCAACATACCACCCAGCCACGATGGATCCTCGCAAAATCAAGCTAATGCTGTTCAGGGCCATGGTGGAGGGAGAAAACGGCCACTTTGTACTCACTGTGGTCTTTACGGACACACTGTGGATCGATGTTACAAGTATTTGCTTTGAGTATTTTCAAGTATTGAGTTACTTGATGTCTGTGCAATATTTGATTCATGTTTGAGATTGCATGTTTATGGTTGATTATATATGCTTTGCTTGAGCTATGATTTCAAGTGAATATGTATGAGATTATTAGTTACTTTCAAATTTTATGTTTATGTGGTATTATTAAAGTTTAGGAAACAGGTCCTTTTTAAGAAGTACTTTACCTTCAAAGAAGGTGGAATCATTTTAAGTGTTTTTAGTAACTAGCGCCAGTCCGTTGCCATTTGGGATTTTTAGATAGAGCGACAGTGATGCTCTTGAGATCTTTGAGACAGAGCAGCAGTTATGCTTTTGAGATATTTAAGTTGATCAACAGTTCTGCTCTTGAGAATCGTGGTGAAGAGTCACCACGATAAGTTTAAGATGGTAGGGGGACGAATCGTTATGACTCCCCTAACTAAGTTTAAGTTTAAGAAAATCCGGAATGGCTTCTCATATGTATGAGTTGGGCAACCAGACTAGCTCGTGAGGGATCTCCGTGTCAGTCAAGTATTTAAGTCAAGATTTGAGCTTTAAGAAATGAGAGTAATTTCAACTCCCTCAAAGTTTAAGAGTTAAGTTTTAATGTGGAAGTACACACAACTTACACAAATTTAAGTATGTGTTTTAAGAAACGTGTTCAAGAATTAGAAAGTTTAAATCGTAAGGGCGTAGATTGACCCCAACTCACTCACCAGTTTGAAGAGGAAGAGGCGGAGCAATTAGAGAGCAGCGAGATCGAGAGAAACAGTTCGAGGTAAGCCAGCTAGAGGAGAACGATACGAGCATCTTGGAGGATGTCCCGTTAGAGTTTCCTATGAGAAGCAGTACTAGGTGAGACT